ATGAACCTCTCCAGCTCATCCAACCTCAGTTTCAGTTAGCCGCTGCCTGCCCTTCAGCCAGCGTAAGTGGGTATGCTCGGGGGATCCCACTACAGAACCCCACTGTTTGCCCTTCCCTTGGCAGCTGGGGCCTCCTGTGGATCCTCCATATGCTATTTGTGCCGCTCCTCATGGAGGATCATTTCTCTGGCTCTAACCATGCACAGTAACCAAATCTACTAGCATTCTGCAGAGACTTTTATTTGGTATAGTTCCCAACGGAGAAATCAAGGGCATAGACATTTTTTGCTGTTAAACATTTTTCATCTTTGGGGTTGGAGGGCATATGTGGGGATTTTGAGGTAAAAAAGAGGAAAAGTGTTGTGCTGCAGCTTTCTAGGCAACAGGCACTCAGATTCATAGCACAGTTCTGACAGCCCAGGGCATAGTCATGTGCATAAAGGTGATTTTCCAACATTCCAGTCCAGCATTTACTCAGCTTGGCCATGTGGAAGTATTTACATCACAGAAAATCACAAATGCTGTAGATCAGGCCTTTTGTTTTGAGAGCTGATAAACATTTATCAGCACACCACTGGTTCATACCTACAAAATTTGGCTCCAAGTTCAGCACTTCCTACACTGATTTACATCTGCTTCCCCAGTTTCTGTCCCTAAAGAGTTCCTGATTAAATCAGAAACAAGTTGTACAGTCAAATGTTCACCACACATGAGCCTAATAAGCCTTAAGCTTTGTGTCCTTACAGGAATCAGTGGGTGCTGGTACGTCAGCTTGGTCAGTTTAGCGATGTTGTTAGAGCTGGGTTGTCATCTTGCTTGATATGGTCTGATGGGGGAGGTCAGGAAGGGGTGATGGGTGATCCATCCCAGGGAAGGCTGAGTTGGCCTCTCATTTCCCTTACGCCTCATCACTGCCAGGTTGGCTTTGGATACGCTCTTTCACGACAGACCCTATTTCTTTTAGGTTTTCCCTCCCAGTTTCAGGGAATTGCCACCTCCTCCACTGGAGCTGTTTGACCTGGATGAGACATTCTCCTCGGAGAAGGCACGGCTTGCTCAGATTACCAATAAGTGTAAGTTTAGTTTGTCTTCTTTTGTGAGTTTTATTTAATTGTGAACTTCTGAGAGATGTTGTGAGAGAACACTTAACATTTATTTAGGGAGAACAAAATATGAACAGGAGAGTAAAGTTACAGTTTTGTTTATTTCATGTAAATTTCTTTCCAGGCCAGTTAGCTCAGTGAATTAGAACATGGTGCTGAGCAGAAGCCAAAGTCTCAACTGTAATCCCTGTAGGAACTTAGTTTTGACCTATCCAGTGACCACAGAGTGAATTCTGAGCCTGGCTGCCACATAGCAAATCTAGGATACTAGTCATAGGAGCAGTTAAATAGGAAAATGCAGTCAGGGCCAGAAGAATTAGAGAGACTTCAAATTGGATCCTTCCAAGGGATCCTAGAGAGAATCGAGCACGCCCACCTTACATGTGGGTGAGGAAATGAGACCCCAGTCCACACAGCTGACGGTGAGTGCTACTCCTGACTCTCAGTCCAGTGCTCCCCCTGACGTGCACAGCCTCCAGGACAGAAATGCGCCTACACACATGTGCCGAGAGGCATCAACTTAACCATTTGGAGGCAGAGACCCCACTCCTGGGACTCTCAGGAGATAAATGAAGGTATACAGATGACTACTACATTACATTAAAAAATAAAATACAGTTGGGAATGATTGTAGTGTTCACTAGCAGGGGAATGGTAGTAAATTGTGCTACATTCAATCGATGGGACAATATGCAGTCACTATAAAAGAAGTTTATAAAGGCCAGGGAGTGACACTGATAGAATTTAAGTGAGAATCCTAAATTAAGAAAGCAAAATAGAAAACCACATGTCCAGTAGAATCCCAACGATGTGAACAACAACTGTATGTCCCCAGAGACTAGAAAGGAGTATGCAAACATGAAAATTGTTCTGCATCTCTGTTCTGCACCAGGCACTGTGGGTAGGTGCTGGGCAATCAAAAATTAGCAAGACATAGTGGTTAGTCCAGTAGTAATAATAGACCAGTAATAATGATGTGACCCAGCATTTCCAATTCTAGCAATTTATCCTATAGAAACCCTTGTAGAATTGCAAAACAAAAAAGCTATAGCTATAGAGATATTAATTGTAGCATTCAAAAAATTGGTAACAGTCTACTGGTCCATCAGTAGGGGGATTGGTTAAAAAAATATGAAAAAAAAATAGAATATTATACATCTGTTAAAAGAAAGATGTAAGCTTTGACATGGAATTCCATATTACATGGTTAAGTGATGAAGGCAACTTACAGAGCTATTATAGTTTGATCCCATTTTTACACATATGTAAATATATAGGCATAATGTGGCAGTAATTACCCTAGGTAGTATTGGTGGGGATAGAGGTAGTACAAGAGCTGTATGGTTTGAATACTTTAATTTAAAAAGTTAGATTTCAATCATAACGTTTAAAAAAAGAAGTCACAGGGGAAAAAAAGAAATTACAGTGTAAGGAGGGCAGTAATGGCTTTCCATCTTGAATATGAGGCTGCTGGGATGATTTCACAGACATACGCTGATGATGGAATTACGGGGGATTTTTTTTCCTCTTTAATTTCCACTTAATTCCTTTTCAATAATATTGTATAATAAATGCTATTTAAAATACCTATGTGCCCTTCTCATAATGGTCCTTGCTCATTCAGAGAATGGTAATTTGATCTCCTACTGGTTGCTGTTCTTTGTAATGTCGGAATGCTGGAGCTGGGGACAGGAGAGCCAGAGCCAGTCCAGCTTTGTTCTAGTTAGGAGTGTCGTACTTTTGTCCTAATTTATAAAAGCAGCGCATCAGAGACCTTTACAGTGTGTCCTGTGGTCACGTTACCCAAGGAAGAGGTGAGTGATCTTGAGAGATGTAGAAACCTGACAGGGGTATCTAAATCACAATAAGTTTGTACTTGGGGAGGGGCAGAAGGTGAGGGTTAATCTAACTGCCCCAACTGTGCTTAGGTACTGAAGAAGACCTGGAATTCTATGTCAGGAAATGTGGTGACATTCTTGGAGTAACCAATAAACTACCAAAGGACCAACAAGATGCCAAACATATCCTTGAGCACATCTTCTTCCAAGTGGTGGAGTTCAAGAAATTGAACCAGGTATGAGTCTAGAAGGCCCACTAATGTGGGAGTCCTTCGAGTGTCGGTATCATCCATAAACTGAGTTTTATGCCATTCATTCATTCTGCAAGTATTAAGTAACTACTAAGTGAACATAATCCCAGTACATCACATAATATGCTAGATAAGTGCTATGCTATTAAAAAAGCAGAGCAGCGTAAGGGGATCAGTGGGCTGAACGTGGCAGTATTAGATAGAGCGGCTGGGGTAGGTCTTACCACAACGCTGATACTAGAGCAAAGATGTGAAAGTGTTGAAAGATTTAGCCATGCAGATAGTGGAGGATGAGAGTCCCAGGCAGAGGGAAGACCTGTGCAAACTCCCTATGGCTGGGCTTTGCCTGGCAGGTGTGAGGAACAGTGGTGGTGCCAGTGTGGCTAGCGAGAACTGAGCAAAGGATAGAGCAGGACGTGAGGTCAGCACTTTATGTTGGAAACCATCTGTCTCTGGACGAAGGACCAAGACTTTGAAATTATAGCTGGCCTTCATTTTTATACCTTGACAGGATTTCCAACATTAAATGCCAACCACTGTTGTTAAGTGGGCATTCAGACACTATTGCTGGAAGAATAAATTGGTCCCACTTTTCTTGAGGTATTTTTTATATCATTCAAAAGCCCTAAAAATGTATATACTTTTGACCCAGCAATTCTGATCCTCAGAATTTGTCTTAATAATCTTGAATATATATAGATTTACCCACCTGGATTCTCAGCGCAGCGGCACTTAATTTAAAAAATATATGTTTTTGCCGAAACCGGTTTGGCTCAGTGGATAGAGCATCGGCCTGCGGACTGAAGGGTCCCGGGTTCGATTCCGGTCAAGGGCATGTACCTGGGTTGCGGGCACATCCCCAGTGGGGGATGTGCAGGAGGCAGCTGATCGATGTTTCTCTCTCATCGATGTTTCTGACTCTCTATCTCTCTCCCTTCCTCCCTGTAAAAAATCAATAAGATATATTTAAAAAAATATATATATATGTTTTTATTGATTTTGAGAGAGAGGAAGGGAGAGGGAGAAAGAGAAACATCGATGTGAGAGCAGAACATTAATTGGCTGCCTCCTGCACACCCCCTGCCAGAAATGGAGCCCAAAACCTAGACATATGCCCTGACTGGAATTGAACCAGCAACCTCTCAGTGCACAGAACGATGTTCAACCACACTGGCCAGGGCACAGCACTGTTTTAATAGAATAAAATAATCAGTGGGGAAGAATAAAAATCATTATTAGTAGGTTGTTCCTAGGGTGATCCATAAGATTTAAAATGTTTGAAGAGTTTTAGGACTTAGGGAGACATTCATGATCCAGTAAATGGGGTGGGGGAGGGCTATAAAGCAGTATAGAGAGTCTGTTTTTCTCCATATATATAGTTAGGAATTTAGATGCTGAGTGGAAAGACTAGTCAGGGTCTGAGCCTTTAGTGGCAGTGGCTGGCACTGCTGGGTACTCATACTGCACGCCTCATATGTGCCAGGCATAGTGCTGGATGTTGGGGCTGTCAGAGAGCAGGATGAATGCAGTCCTTGCTGTCTCTGACCTATGTGTAGTGGGGCAGATGGGAATATGTGGGCATTTACAATGCTCTGAAATAAATGGCATCCAGAGGTGAGTTGCTGATATAGCTGCTCAGCACTGAAATGTGGGATGCGGGCTCAGGTAGATTCCCAACAGTACTTACTCTGGTGGCAAGGCAGGGACAGGCCCCAAGGCCAACTCTGATGGGTCTTAGCATCAGCGCCTTCAATGGTATTTGCTCCCTACTTATCATGGTGGGTGATGGGCAGTGGTCAAAAGCCCTGTCCTGGTAGTGAAAACTTGACTCTTGGGTTTAAAGCCAGAGATAACCTACTGGTATGTGTCCCAATTAAGATGTTTCAGAATCTTTAATCAAAGTCCAAAACACTAAAGATCACATTTCAGACTTTGCCCTGAAATACTAAAATATATGTCTTATTCCCTCATCCAGGAACATGACATTGATACAAATGAAACTGCATTCCAGGACAATTTCTGAGGACCGTGCCTCTTGAAGCATTTTATGCCTCCTTATTTGTAAACTGTTTTTCCATTGTTCCTCAATCCTTTATCAAAATTGTCCATCTACTCTTCTATGAACTGTGGAAGAGTTGTGTATCTTCTGTAGTGCCAGATAGGTATAACATTTCTAACTTAGAAAACCCTTATGTAAGATATGTTCCATTTTTAAAATCAAATGATTAAATCTGTACTTTTATAATTTATGGAATAGTCTTGCATTGAAGTCTTTTCTTTCAACTCCAGTCCTGGATTTATCTTTATTTTATTTAAAAACATTTTTATTGATTTCAGAGAGGGTGAGAAACATCAATGATGAGAGACTCATTCATTGATTGGCTGCCTCCTGCACTCCCTCTACTGGAGATACAGCCTGCAACCCGGGCATGTGCCCTGACTGGGAATCAAACCGTGACCTCCTGGTTCATAGGTCGACACTCTGAGCCATATCGGCTGGCTCTTCTTTTTAAAAAAAAAAAAGTTTTTATTTTATTTTTTTTCTTATATTTCTTTTTTCTTTTCTTTTTTTTTTTTTAGAGAAAGAAAAGGAGAGGGAGAGAAACATTGATCGGCTGCCTCCTGTATGCACTGGGGATTGAGTCAGCAACCTGGGCATGCACCCTGACTGAGAATTGAACCAGCAACCTTGGTGCATGGGTCGATACTCAACCACTGAGACACATTGGCTGGGCCAGATTGGCAAGATTTTGATCCTTACTGGTTGGTGGAAGTATTGGAAGATGGGGGTTCTGAAGGCTGAACTGTTTTGAACATAAGATTCCAATTAAGATGATAATATGAATTAATATAGCCAGTAAATAGCTGGAAATTCCTAACTGGGGCTTAGAAAAGATATAGTCTCAAGATCTGAGTTCACATGGAGTTGATAATTGAAGCTATGAGAATAGTCTGTCCAGGAATTAACATTTTTGGAAATCTAAAAACCTTGGGAAGAAAGGTTCAAGTCACATCCAGAATTTCAAGTAATTCAGTCATGTTCAAGCCCTGTTCATAGACTTCCATTCTCACCCTCCAGCCCTAGTGCAGGTCTTTCAGTGTAGCCAAGTAGGAACAGAGTGCTGAGGAAGGGGGGCCCCTTTGCTCAGAGGGCACAATCTGGGAGCCAGCTGAGACAAGCCGCTCTAGAACAACAGGTGAGTGTTGTGGAAAGGTAGTATTTACCACACATTAAAAAAAATGTACTCAACGATAATCTCCCAACCCATATGCTCGTACACTGTGGGTTTGACGCTTTTGCCATCAAGAGGTGCGGTCTTGTTTCCTCCCTCTTAGTCTGGCACTCTGGTGGAAGTGACACACATCGTCTTCTAAGGCTGTACAGCTTCTGCCTGGTTCTTTAGAGCCACAGGCCTCCATGCAAGAAATAGGAGGCCACTTGAGACAGACTACGTAGGTGGGCCTCCCAGTGCTTCCTGCCCCCAGCATCAAGTCTCCGTAGTCTTGGAGTTGTCCTGAAGCCCCAGACATCATGGAGTAGAGACAAGCTGTCTTTGCTGTGACTTTTCTGAATTCCTAACCCACAGAATCCATAGACATAAAATGGCAGTTTTAAGCTATTAATTTGGAGTAATCTGTTATGCAGCAATAGATAACTAAACACGTACCAAGGAACGTTTTGGATCTATTTGAATCTAATCCAAAACTTCACTTTCCAAAGGGGACAGAGGCCTGGGGAGACCAGGGGCAAAGAAGCACTGACAGCCTGCCTACTAACCCGGAGCTTCTCCCACCCACCTCTCCTAACTGGAGAAGATGCTTTGAGGGCCAAGGCCTGTCCAGCCATGGGTCAGCTGGCGTTTTTCTTTCATCTATGGGTGACTTGTGGCAAGGATGTATGCTTTCCCTCAACTTATGAAAAACACCCAGAAAAGTGGAAAGAATAGTACAAAAAACGCCAGTACACACCACCTACTTTTAGAAATTAACATACTACTATGTATGCTTTATGCATGTAAATTTTTGTTACTGAACACTTGAAATTAAATTTCAGATATAATACTTCACCTTAGTATACTTTATTTTTTAAAATGTTTTTATTGATTTCAGACAGAGGAAAGGAGAGGGAGAGAGGGATAGAAACAGCCATGAAAATCATTGATCAGTTGCCTCCTGCACGCCCCCTACTGGGGATTGAGCCTGCAACCCCAGCATGTGCCTTTGACCGGAATTGAACCCGGACCTTCAGTTCGCAGGCCTATGCTCTATCCACTGAGCCAAACCAGCTAGGGCATGTGTCTGAACTTTTAGATAAAAAAGTTAACCGACTTGAACAAGTGTTTCAATTTTATTTTTTTTAAAAAAAAAAACCCACCAAAAACAACAAAAAGTGTTAGCACCAGTCCTAGCAGATAACAGCATAACAATAACTGTTGGAGATTTTACTTGTTGAACTCCAATACCTCTCTGGTCAGAGAAACAGTGTCAAAAAGAGGAGGAAACACAAGAAACGATATGTGTAGGTGACAAAACCTTTCCTCTCCCCATGAGCAAGGAGGAACATTTGTGGTATCTTGTGATTCATAGACTTACTATGGCTCTTACTAAGTTACTTCTTACTTAAAAAACCAAATATTAAAAGTTTTAAACTCTGTTCTGTAAAAGGTTCTAGAGCTGTATGCATGCCTTCATGAAATTTAATTTAAAACATTTTTAAATAAAAAATTTAGGTCATACCTGAAAACGGACTAACGGATGAAGAGAAAGAATTTCATCCCGTCCCCCTTTCTCCAGCTCATGTTATCAACTTCTTCCGCTGCCTTTAAGAGACAATAATAAATATACACTTATAAGAAAATTCTTGCTTACACCAAACTTTAACAGGAAGCCTACTCAGGTTTCATCCTAGGGCTGCCTGCAGCCCACAACCTAATCCAGGAAGGAAATGAACTTCCTAGGAAGTGCAAAAGGTGACAAATAGCGCGAAGGACACCTGCGGGGGTAGGAGCCTGCCCAGGAGCTGACTCGCGGGAGTCGTCGGGGACGGCTCGGCTCCGGGCAGCACGGGGTCCACACGCCTCGGCTCCGAGCAGCACGGGGTCCACACGGCTCGGCTCCGAGCAGCACGGGGTCCACACGCCTCGGCTCCGGGCAGCACGGGGTCCACACGCCTCGGCTCCGAGCAGCACGGGGTCCACACGCCTCGGCTCCGGGCAGCACGGGGTCCACACGGCTCGGCTCCGGGCAGCACAGGGTCCACACGGCTCGGCTCCGAGCAGCACGGGGTCCACACGGCTCTGGGCCAGCCAGTGGCGACGCCACCAGGTCAGAGGCCGCGGTGCACCCGCCTGCTCCCGCTCAGCCCCGGGCCTCTCTTCCTCCGCCCGA